ATAGGAACTATGTTTAACTTAGACTGATGAATGACCGTGAGGATTTTCGAAATTGTGACTGAACCCGAGAAGTACACAACAGTGGGGAATGCCTGTTTTCTACGAGATTCAAGTCCCTCACAGATTTACCGAACGTATTTCAACAAGCTTCATACTTCGGGTCGCCTGAACGGCATCGGCCTTATATAAAACGAAAGTTGGGTCGACTCGTCCATTGTGCCGGACGTGTAAGCATTCAAAGTCGGATACCGAAAATGGACGAGTCCACGCCGATCCTCAAATACGATTTTCCAGCGAAATGAATTTCTGTGTGACTATAGCAAAAGAAAACAGGCTGAAATCCAATTCGCAATAAAGAATGGTCTTGCGACGGAGCTCTTCCTTACGGCTTTTCTTGAGTCCATTTCGAATGGACCTCTTCTTTTTAGGTAAAAATGGAATGATTCTTTTTCCATCCAAAAAGTAAGTAAGTTCGAAGAATTTTTAGAAAGTGAAGATTATTATTTTTTTGCTGAATTCTATTTGCTTAATCACTGAATACAGAAGAATGATATATTTGAGTCTTTATATTTTCAGAAAAATGAAAAAAAAAACAAAACTCACTCTATTATTTGCAAAGATCAGGTAGAATATGCAGTACACAGTGAACAACGAAATGCAGACAACGTTTACGATTATCATCACGCTGTCATCCTTCAGAAAACCGTACCGTAACCAGAATGCACCTCTGAAACGTGCCAGACTTTAAAAGCATTTACGGCCTCAAATGGCTTTACGACTGCGTAACCGATCCTCAAACTTACCCCAATAAACCCATAAGAAATGGTACACCACTAATTTCTTGTGTTGTTCTTCGTCGTAGGATTTCGATGCAAATCGGTCTGAAAACGGATCATCTCACTTTTCTAGCGGATTCTACAATACAGATAATTGATCATTTCCAAGTAGTTAGGCAATAAAATTTGTAGATCATTTTACAATTTAACGGTTCAAACTAAGTTCAAGTAGAAAGGCATATAGAGTTACCAGAAATCAGACAACTAAGTGATCATTGAGCAGCTGATTACCAACTGGCCAACCTCTTCTAAGGTTTTCTTACACCAGAGATTGACCAGCTTGATAGCTTGGGCTATCATCTTTCAACCTTCTAACTTTGCACTCTTGCCAGGATCAAACTATCCTATGCCCCCGTGCATTCTGAAGAACCCAATCTACTCGGAAGCAGTAGTCTCCCAGCTTGACGTTAGCTCTCCATGTCAACTGCAATCACAGCCCCGGGTCTAGTATTTTTAGGTTTTTAGGCATGTGATTCAACTCTGAAAAGTTGGTAGGTAAAAGTAGTTTAAAGCGAAAACAGCTCATAAATCGAAATGTCAAGTAGTCATGTGTGAGGTTGAAGAAGTGGAAAATGACTATCTTTTGAGCCATCTCAGGGAGCAAAAGCCCAGCTTTCTAGAGAATGAAAAGCTTTTGAATAAATTTGTAAACTGGAATGTAGAAAAGACTTCCAAGAAGAAATTTTTCTGAAAAACTTTGTACTTACATTCCGCATAGAAAAAGGCATATAGTCGTGACTATTGCGGAACATGAGAGAAGCTGTAGGAACGTTTTGAGATCCATTGTGAACTGAAAGAATACATTTTTATAAGGAAGAAAATAAATGACTAGATACGGTAGGATTACGGTGAGTATGAATGGCGGGAAACGAGAAAGGGGGGTACAAGGAAATACAGTACATCTAGATGAATGTGGGGGTGATTTATAAAGACAATATCTAACAGTCACACCATGTAATCAATCATATCGATAGAAGCGGATTCTAGGCCGATCATCATCGGTTCGTTATGACGACGACAAACAAGTTTTATCGTAAAGAAAAAGGATTTGGATTTTATTTACAAACAAAGAGACAATACTACTGTTTTAGGAATATGAGCAATCGTAGGCAGGCCTTGCGCATGTGGTCACCGCAAATGAGAGCTGAGATGCTCCTAGCCTAGCCAGTGTGTCATCAAAGCTTTATATACGCATACAGAAGAAACCGCCCTCTTTCGCCCTCCTCCCCGCCGCACCATCGTCGCGTAGGACACATGACTATGTTGTAATCGCAACGCGCACATATACATAAATAATACATTCACAAGGTAAACTGAAGTAAATGTAAACGCAATCGTTGATTTTTATCCGGGTAAATTCCTTTGAGATCATGAGCATCCCCACGAGACCACTCACTGGAGCAAAAAAAAAGCGCATCGACCCTCACAGGAAGTGCGACCAGAGATGACCACAACCGACCAACCAGGCGTCAAGACAAGTTTGACGACACACCCTGTGGTGGAAAGCAAGCTGTCAGCAACAGTGCCAGAACGTTCCCTACTCATACACGGTTGCTTGGGCGGGAGTAGTAACGGAAGTAGTAAACGCATGAGAAAAGCCTTTAGCATTTTCTCCCCTCTCGACTTGCCCCCGTCACTTTTCGCAGTCGCTTTCTGTCGCCTGTCATCGCCAGGTGTTGCTTACTGTCGCCCAACATTTCACAAAGTCATGATGATCATAGTTCACTGTATCCTACAGTAGCCCCTTGCCCACGTCTCGACCTGCTGTAAAAGCCCCCAGTAGACGCTACTGCCTGTCGATATCATTGGTTGTCATTCAAAACCAACTCTGTTGAATGGGAAGAGCTGGTTTTGGCCTTTCTAATGTTCTCATCCTGCACCTTGATGGCATACCACGTCGTCTACCGTATCTATTGATGATATCGAACATCTTCAGTAAAATGGGTAATGTGAACGTGGCAAAGTGTATGAAGCTGCTAGCTCAGGCTTGCCCTTTCGATTAATCTTGCCTCAACATCGATATCAAGGGATGCTGACTGAATCCCTCCACTTTACGCCGTTCACGAGTGATATTAGTTCAAGTTTTTTCAATGAGCAGTAAAGGGATTAAAAAACACAATACGTCAGGCAAATCAAAAGAATAACGACATAGTGAAAACACCTGGCAAACCATAAATTACGAGAGAAAAACTCGTTTGTTTCCATCTAGCTCACGGGATGCTGTGAATGAATACATCGTTCCGGAAGTGCAAGTGTTCGTGACGGTTGGGAAATTTCCTACAGCGATATAACACTTCCCATGAATTCCTAGATCTTTGGAAAGTAAACAGCAGAGAGGCAGAGGATGTGATGGGAGCGATTAGTCGGCTTTCAATGAGGTCAATGGGATCTGTCCTTGTCTTACTTAGGATGAGCCATGGTTCTTTTGAAATCAATTCATTTCTCCAACGTGACGAGGCGAAGCATGAGCTCCACCATCAATTATTTGCTTACAACGACATCAACGCGTTGAAAACACTTCGCAGCCTACTTTCTGTGTTTCGGGAACACTGTCTGCCTCGGGACTAGGACCGATAGTCGGGACACGCAGGTATGGAAACCTACTTTCCCACAGTTGTCTTTCAGCTTTGACCACGATCACTCAATTGAAGTCAAAATAATTACAGGCATGCGAACAAGGCAGTTCTTACTGGTGCTATTCTCCAAAGTTGAATCGATGGTTTCCAACTAATGTGAGTAACTCATCCGTTCTCGACCAATTCTGACTGCCTACGGTAAGTTGCTTGTCGTTTCATTACTTAACACTTTTCAAACGCGCCCTGAGCTTAATGTTCACTACATAAGGTGGCAAAGTTAGATTTGAAAGGTATATTTTAAAATAATTAAATGTGGAATGGATCATATCTAAATCGGTATTTGATTCTGACAGGCCCCATTTACCAGAAATGTAGAGAGCTTGAGCGAGTTTTGATCAGAAAACTTTTCAGAATGTGGGCAAACCCCCGATGATTCGTGGTAGCAGCTCCACATTCTTACGCGGTACCTCCATCCCCCCATCAGCTGGTTTACACAAGAGGATGTGTAGACTTCCTTCAGCACGCCATTTCAATCCCAAATGGGAGCCAATTCCTAGTGTATCGCAAAATGGACTTGGTGAAGCGGTTGATATTCTTATCCTTCAGAAAGGCTGGATGAGAACTGTGAAGGAAAGGCTGGTCAAGTAAGGCAAGGTGAGAGGAGTGAAACTGGTGAAAACCTAGACATTCCCAATGGAGATTACGGTGGTCACGGAACGAGTGTAGACTGATCAAGGTTGATTACGGTAGAGGTAATATACCAAAGAACAAAACCAGATCAAGTCGTGAACTGATTGTCAGTTTGAAATCCCAAGTGGTTAAATACACTGAGCCATTCGAGGGGGGGGGGGGGGGGGGCCG